AGATTCGTTTCAAAGTAGTAATTTCATGAAGAATAATTTCATTATACATATATAATTTCGAAAATGTGTGAACAGAGCTAGGAATTATGTCGGAATTTTTCCAAAATAATTTTCAAGCGAAACGAACGAACGAGTCGAAACTAGTCAGGACATTGTTCTAAACTGAACTAGTTCATAAATTTCCACGAAATGCTTTCAGTTCTGCAAGTTCCTACAGAAAGTACTGCAACAGCCGTGGCCCAAATTCGAAATTAGTCCGTAAGGGCTAAAAAATTGACACAATATATAATTTTAAATTGATTCAGAAATTCAAAATTTTTTTTGTTTTTATTTTCTAAGATTTTTCTTATTGATAAACAGTAACTAAACGGAAATTTTTTTTAAAATTTCCAATAATTCTTAATGGAATAAAAGTGTTGAACTTCAAATAAAACAACTTTTTCTTATTTCCTGATCAAAATTTAAGCCAAATTAATTATATAATTACAAACATTCACATAGAGTACCGAAGTATTAAATTTTTTGTTATGCATTTAAAACCCAACAAATTTTCAAAATTTATTTTAATCCAGCATACATTATGTACATATGAAACGAAGTTAACCCAAATTGTTTCGAAAATATAATTTCACCTTGAACTTCCATACGCTATATATAACACGAATATTTTTCGATTGTATCTGTTTATGGTAAATAATTTCAATAATTATACCTCAATCGCTTCATCGACACGTTTCAAGCGCTGTTGCAGCATTTTCCACTCGAATACAACAACTGCTGACACATATTTTCATATAACACAGCTGTTGTAATTATCCAATGGAGTTTCCAATTAAGAAATGCACGCACAAAAATTTTAAGAAGCAGACGAATTTAAAAAAAATTACACCGTTATCCACTCAAGCACAAGATAAAATATAAACTGACTGTTAAGGCACAGCGAGAAAAAATCTTTGACAATAAAATAGTACTGGCAATTTACTCAAAGGTCTGACTAGCAAGCTGGCAGGCTGGTTGTCTGCGCTAGTAAGCTGTATTAAGTAAAAATATTTGGGCATATTTACACACACTTGTGCATAATTACCTAAATAAAAATGTTTACGTGTTTTTTCAAAATACATATTTATATTTGTACTGAGCAAATTTTTCAACTCACATCTTTAATCAACTTTTATCAGCTGTTCTCAGTCGAGGCTTCTGCCCACCTAACTGCTCAAGCATTTATCTCTACAGTTTTATTTCTTGCTGTAATTTTTTTTATAACCATCGCTGCGCTTTGTGTGCCTGAGTTTGTGCGCATGAAAATTATTATATATTATCTGGAATATTTCTCTGGCGCTTACTCTCTTTCTGTATATTCATTATGTTTTTCTTTGAGATAATTCTTCAGTATATCTTCAGTTCCACTTGTGTAAACAGTTATTGTTTTCACAGTCTATTTTCTTAATGAAATAATTCAAGTTCAAAATATGAAATGAATGAAGCATGAAAATAATTATTTCGAATGATTTGAATAATATTTAAAGAGAGCAAAAAGGGTTTGGCTTTTGCACTCATAGACCGTGTCCTTGAGGTGAGTTCATGTAAAATTAATTTCAGCAAAAAAAAAATATAATAATAATAATAATAATAATAATAATAATAATAATAATAATAATAATAATAATAATAATAATAATAATAATAATAATAATAAATTAATAATGTATATATATATATTTATTTTTTTTTTTTAAATATGAATAATAATAAGCACTAAATAAAATATATTAAAAAAATAATTTAAATTAAATTATCTAAAACAAAATGAATTTAAGTTGCATATATATTACAAATTGAAATAAATAAAACATGTAAATAAAATAAAATAATAGATAATATAAAATCAAAATAAAATTACTGGCTAGTTTAAAAAAAAAATAAATAAAAATGAAATAATAAAAATACAAAAACTGAATTAACATAAATTAAATAAAATATATTTTAAATACATTGCAATTAAAAAAATTGAAAAAATTCAAACTAAATATTTTGACAGAAGTCTAATGAAATAAAATATTAAAATAACAGAAAAAAATATTAAAAATTAAAATAAATCAAAAATACATAATTGGAAATTAAATAAATAAATATTAAAATAAAATGAAAAAAAAAATTAATAATAAAAAAATAAATTGATATAAAACAAAAATAAATAATTGAAATTGAAAGTAAATAAAAAATATATAAAATATAATATAAAATCAAACTAAAATCATTTGCTATTTCAAAAAAAGTGATAACAATAATATTAATAGAAATTTAAAAATTACATCAAAAACATAAGTTAATAAAAGAATTTTTGAATACTTTGAAATTCAGAAAATAAAAATAAATTAAGTAATTATGATAAAAAAAATATATATCGAACTAAATAATTTGACAGAAGTCTATAGAAATAAAATATTAAATCAACAGAAAAAATATTAAAAAATAAAATAAAACAAAAAAGAAATAAAACAATAAATACATAAATAAAAATGGTATAAAAAATTAAACTAAGCAAAAAATAAATAAAATAAAGAATGAAATAAATTAATGAAAATAATTAAGATAAAAAAATTAATCGAACTTAATATTTTGACAGACGTCTAGTGAAATAAAATATTAAATCAACAGATAAATATATAATATTGTAAAGTAAAATAAAACAAAGTAAAAGGAATTAAAACTGAAACAAATAATTGAAAATGAAGTAAAAAAAAAAAACAAAAAATAAAAAAAATAAAAAAATTCAAATAATAATATTGAAATTACATTAAAATGAAAAGAAATAAAATAAAATAATAAAAAAATTTAAATAAAGAAAATAAATGAAACAAAATAATATGACAAGTCAAGTATGACAAACGTAAAATATTAAAATAAAAAAATATATAAAATAAAATTAAACAAAGTAAAAAGAAATAAAACAAAAATCACGGTTGCAAAATTGAGTAAAATTAAAATTTAGTTAAAATAAAATAAGATGAAACATATACAATAATTAAAATAAAATTAAAACAAAATAACATAAAATATATATAAATAAGTAGATAAACGCAAGAATTAAGTGAAAAAATGAAACAAATAAACTTAAATCAAAGATGAAAAAAAATTAAATAAAATAGTTTAGTCTCCTATAAGGTGTAAAGTAAAACGAAATTAAATTCATTTAATGCAATAAAAGCACAATAAAATAATGATATAAAATAAAAGTGAATTATATAGACAAACCATAATTAGTTATAAAAAAATCTAAAATAAATAAAACCAACTTAAATTAACTCAAATTGACATTTGATAAAACAAAATAAAACAAAACAAATAAAGATAACAAAGCTCCAGTGAAAGCCAACATAAGAACTAGGCTGATATTCATTTTGAACGCTTATTTGACATTTACAGAAGGTATTTAGTCCAATTATATGGGTTTGAAGACCTTTGTATTTGTGATCTTCCTCTTTCTCTGTTTGCAGCGGCAAATGTTGCATCAAATACTTTCGGACCTGGAGTGTTTTCATCCATCGGCACGATATAATCTAGCCAGCGGAGCAGCTGCCTCTTCATTCGCTGAACTCTGCTAATGTCGCCGTATATCGTACATACATCGTTCGATCGACTGTGCTAATGCTGGGTCCAAGATATGTTTTGGCTTTCAACAGTAATGTGGAAGCTAGGGCGCGAGTATGCTGGCTGTTTGTTTGAACGTCGCAGTTCTTCAAGCCAAGGGGCGTCAATATCGTCGACATACTCTTATAGAAGATTCTAGAATAGAAAATTTTGCTGTGAGGCACGTATTATTTTCTTTTCCATTGAAGTCACTTTGTTTGAAACCGAGTTAAATACCGAACGGCGCGGAGAGGACCGTCATACTTTTGCGGAGATATCAACTTAAGACGTAGTGGCCTAGAGGCAGTTGGTGCGTCTCGATCCTTTTTTCATAGGTTTTTTCCAAGATTAGGCGTATGGTTAATATCTGTCCACTGGCTAATTATAGATTTACTAGGCCAACAAGATTACCAAATATGCTTGATATTTGATGGGATATACAATAATTAATAATAGATTATGAAGCTACCTTTCGTGTTGAAGCTCACTGTAACCATCATATTTATTAAGTAAGATCAAGTTTTTCAAAAAATGTCTTCAATAATCGATCCTAAGTCTACAGATCGTAGGAGCAGGTAGGTGTATTTCCTGATCTACAAGTAAGTCCAGCTACTGGTAGGTCTTTATTCCCCATTAAAGTTAGATTCCCAACAAGTTTGGTTGGGTTCTGTTAAGTAATGCCTCAAATGAACGATCGTAATATAAGACAAAGATGTGAGCTGACCAGAGCAAACACCCCAATCGAGAGCCCTGCATTTTTTGTGCGCCCCTTAATATGCCACCTGCAAACATCTCCGCCAATATAAGCAGTGTACGGCAAATTAAGGTACAAGACTTTCACAATAACTTCTAGCAAATTCGCACGGGACAGTGTACGTGTAATACATTGAATATCTACGAAATAAAATTTTTATGTATAAATATATGTATATGATTCGAAGCGAGAGTTATATGGAAGTTGGTCGCGAATTCGGTCCGATTTCGCGCGCCTGTATTTACTCTTAACCCAAGATAGGTGTGAACCGATTTTCATTAAATTTTTCTACTGATGGACGGACTTAGAGACGGATAGAGAGTTATGGCTAAATCGACGTGTCTTCTCATTCCATGAAGTTTTATATACATATATCCATATCAATCGAGATTATCACTTGGTGTTACACATAACCGTTAGCTGAACAAATTCGATTCTGTTCGACTCCTTCTGTATCATTTTATAATTCCTTTCAATAAAATTTCACTATGAGGAAGGCCGAAGATATTCTGCATACTTTTATAAGGCATTTTAATTTATTTCTTTTTAGCGCTTCTTTTCAATTCGATTTCTAAGTAAAGAATATAAGAAGACATATTTTTTTCTAACATTTAATAAATTTTATTTCCATTTTAAAGATTACTACGAACCACAAACAACACTTTAAAGCTCTTACAAATGCTATTAGTATTGAGATAAATTTAAGGATCTGAGTTTATTAAGAAAAAATGCAATTTGAACAGTTTATCATGTCGTCTTCTCCTCACTCCCAACGTATTTTTACGCCAGCAGCTTCTTGCAACTTTAACTCGTTCAAAACGAACTCCTTGAACTCTGCATAAGCAACATCAATATCGATGTTGTGTATGATTTTTTGGAAATTTCCCTCCTTCAAGCCATAGGCAATCTCGCCCTCAGCTGCCGTCAAGCGTTTCTTTAAACTCTCCTCCGTTTCCGATTGCCTTTTACGTAAACGTCGCTCCAACTCCTCGATCGAAGGTGGATTATTGAAAACGAGTAACGGATTCAAATCCGTCTTCTTTATCTGCTCAACACCTTGTGGTTCTATGTCCAGAACACAAACTTTATTCTCTTTTTGTACATCACGTACTGCTGCCTTACTGGTGCCATATAGGTTGCCACAAAAGGTGGCGGTCTCAATAAATTCGCCATTGGCTATCTTCTCTTCCATCGCTTGCTTTTCAATGAAATGATAGTGTTCGCCATCGACTTCGAACTGGCGTGGTTGTCGGGTAGTATGAGAAACGCTAAAGCCGAATGTCTGTGGGTATTCCCCGAATAGACGTTTAAGTAGTGTACTCTTGCCTGAACCTGAGGGCCCACATAAAACTAGTGGACGTGGATAGTTAGTCACGACTGAAGTTGGTAAAGATGGTTCGGACATTTTGGTGCAGAGTTGTTGTGTAAGTTCTTTTTTTCCAATTGTTTTGAGCGCGTTGAGCATAATACTATGCGTAATCAGGTTAGCTGTAAGTTGGTTGCGTTTTCTTCTCTATTTTGTATAGGCTGTGTGAGGGGTCCTAAAACGATACAAAATTTCACAGGTCTTATTTTTATAGACACTTGTTTCTAATTCAAGCGTACCATATAATACTAGAATTAGCCTACTGTATATATGTACACATATATGTAAAGAGAGAGGAGGCAGGGAAAATTCCCTTATAAGTTTTGCTCCGGAGAACGCACTCCAGCCATGCCAATACAAAGCAAGGATAGTCGCGTTCTCTTGACCAAACAAGAGCAGATTTTTCGATCACTACTTTACTATCACGGGAAAAAGTGAGATGATATATGTATGTACAGTGAAGCGAATATTTTCAGAAGTTTTTTATATCGCAAAAATATTGATTTGGCGTTCAGAAAACCACAGTAAAAAATTCCCTATGAAGAAGAGGTTCTTCTAAGGGTACTGATGAGAATATGCAACAAACTCAAGTGCAGAAAATATTATGTTTAAATTTATGAAAATTTTGAAATATGCACAAATCAAATGTCTTAATTAAGATGATGATGAGAGGACTTCGAATTATTTCTCTACCAAGCAGTTTATCCTTTCTTAAGACAATTATTATAGAGCGAAAATATTGAGCATGAAAAACTAGATTATTTGCACTGCAGCAGGAATATTTCCAGTCTTGTTATCGAACAAATAAATTAATTATTTAGATAAAAAGGTTTGGATTTATGTCAATTTCTGTTGTCAAATATCAAACAAATATTTTTCCAACGGCAGGTTAGCTTTATAACCTCCAAATATTGTTGGGAAAGTAATTGAATTTTTTGTTAAATATGTGAATTAAATCTTTTTTACTTCATAACTAAAGTTTTAAGTATTAAAATATTTGTCCGAAATTTATTATTTTTCAAGTTAATTTAATTTGAATTAGATTTCAGTTAAATTTTTGGAAAAGTGAATCGTTGGTGTTAATTAATTAATTAATTTAAGTAAATAATTAAGTGAATAAAATTGGCAGGAATTATCATCTAAAATTATAAATTATGTTTGAGGTAATTAATGCCAAAAAAAACTTAAAAAAAAAAATAATTATTTTTTTTAAAGAAAAAAATTGTTAAAATTAATTAAAAGAAAATTTATTATTTTTTTTTAAAGAAATAAATTGTTAAAATTTTTTTTAGTTAATTTAAAATTTTTTCAATTAAATTTTTGCATTTTATGTTTTTTTCTAAAAATGCTTAGCTTCTTAAATTCACTAAAAATTAAATTAATAGCAATTGTTATTGAATTTTCAGTTGAATGTGTCAAAGAATTACATTTTTTTTAACAATTTTTTTTAGTAAATATTATGTTCAGAATTAATTTTTTTGTTTTTTAATAAATTTAATTTAAATGTGTTTTCAGTTTAATTTTTGAAAATTTAAATCCTTTTTTAAAAATATTCTACAATTTCTCAAATTAACTGCAAAAAAATAAATTATAATTTTAACCTCGAAATTATATTTAGAATGGAGATGTCTTTTTTGTGCAAGAAATTAAGATGTTTTTAAGAAGCAGATAACTTTTTTTCTCTTAAAAAAATTCTGCTTTAAAGCTTTGTCTTGTTAAAATTTATATTAATTTTTAGTTACTTCAAAATAATTAAAATACATTTTTACAAAACAGCATTTTTTTATATATAAATGCATATTATTATATTTATTTTTCAGCAAAATATTATTATATTTATTTTTCAAAAAAAATTTGAAAATATATATCTTTTTTGGAAACTTATTGAAATAGATTTGAATACTAAAAATTGAAAAGTAGGTACCAAAATGATATTTTCTAATTATATAAAGTGATTTTCAATTTTATATTTGGGAAAATACAAAATATTTAAAATATTTTCAAAAAAATCGTTTTAAAACTAACTTATTCTTTGAATGGACTTGAAAGAGAAAAATTTGTTATTATGTTTTTAGATTTATCCGTGGTAAAAACCGCATTAAACCTATTACAAAATTTTAATACTGTTTAAATATCAGGTTAAAAAATTAATTTTTTTTTTTAAATTAAAATTCAAAAAATAAATAATTTTGTAAATGAACAAAGAAGAAACTAATAAAGATAAATTTGTAGAAAAAAAAAATGTTTTTTACTAAAAGTAAATTTTTTAAATCAAACAAAAAATTCAAATTTGTATTATCATTTTTTGAAAACCAATCAAGTCTTTGGGTTTAAATAAAAAAAACCTAAAAATATAATTAAAAAAGAAAAATAACGAACAACATTCCATAGAAAGAATTAAAAAAAAAATGAAAATTATTCATAACCTCAAAATTTCGTTTGAAAGCCAATGAATTTCCAGCTGATATGCGCAAAGAATTAAAATCCCTCGAAAATAAGTAAAATCTTCAAACTAAAATTTAACCTTTTAGCTCAATTTGTGGCAAAAGTGATTCGTTTTTCAAATAAATATTGGTGAATTACTTAATTTTTTTAAAAGTGTTTTAACTTTCAGCTTGATATGCGCAAAGAGTTTAATTATTTTCGGCAAGAAAAAAATTTCCGTTGAAGAAAAAATATTTTCATTAGAAAAAAAAATGTTGAATAAATTTTCCAAAATTCATTTTTATAGATCTTATTATTATTATTACCAAAAACTAACAAATTGACCAAATTATATTATGCAGGATTTGTTTATAATTGCGGTTTTAATTTTTTAAATAAATAAATTTAATTCTTAATGAAATCAAAACATTATTTAATTGATTTAATTCTATATTTTTATCATATTAATTCAGTTTACGAGAACTAACTATAATTTTATTGCTAACTTTTTGCAGTTCGAACATTATTTTTAATACATTTAATTTATTTTTCAACATAATTTGTAAAAAAATAATCATTTTCCGCCTAAAGTTTTACTTTCGCGATGTTCTTTAATTGAATTCTGATTTTTTCTTTAAAAATTTTATAACCTCCTTTTTTTTGGTTAAATTAATTTCCATGAATTTTCAGCCGACTAAGTTCTATGTGCAAAAAAAAAAAAAGAGATTGCACAAAAAACAAGTCACACAGCAATGCCGAAATACTACGATTTCATTTAAAACTCGTTCAACGCACGAAGTCAAGGTTGACTAGCACTCAGTGAAAACCGTTAACTTAAATTTCAATTCTTTTTTATTGATAGTAACACTCGACTTCTAATTACACTTGAAAAAAAAATTGAACGTACGGAAATATTATGTAATTGACACGCGTCTAAAATAACTGGAATTGCAATAAAGTATACCGTTATTTATGCTTTTATTTTAGTTTATTCTAATTTTTATTTTTTGAGTGGTAAATAGGTGCTGATTCGATTTCACTTTTTGTCAGCTGAGTGGTTTCTTTTGGTTGAGTGACCATTTACATATACTCATATAAGTGTGTATGTATGCATATTATGTAATTAATCTGATTGGTTATGTCATCGCTCAGTCTCGTTGCAGATGGTTTGTTGTAGAATGGTTGGTTGCATCGTAAGAACTGGTTGGATTATATTTAAGCTGTTTTTTATTGCAATCGTTGTGTGTGTTTGCATATTATGTATGTATGTATGTATGTTTGTATATCATTCTTTTGCACTTTACTCTTGTATCTCGTTGCAATTTGAACAAGTCTTTGTAGAATATTTAATTAGCTTCGCATTGCATGAAGTTGCGTAATTCTAATGTGCAACGTTCGTTTCCCGAATGATTTACGTATTCAATTAATTACGTTCACTACTTTGTTGGGTGATTGTAAATATGCATTTTTATTGTAGTTTAATAAAAAAAACACACACACATTAGTGTTTAATGCGAAGTTTGGAGAGGAGTTTTGTTTTCAAAATGTTTTTAAAAGAAGTAGAAGTGAAATAGATTAAATGCTAATTTAAAAAAAAAATGCAAATGTAAATAAGTGATGTAATTTAATTTGCAGTAGTGTATAGAAAACAAAACTATTTCGTTAACAAGGTATCTAAAAAATATTTGTATCGGTAAAAACTTAGATTATGCTTAAAAATTGTTTCAAATATTTATTTGTAGATATCATAATAAAATTCATTTTCTTAATTTATTATTACTATTTTTTGGTTCAAATTTTTTAACTAACAAAAATATATATTTTTTATAATAGCATTACCGTTTTTACGGTTTTACTATTTTGCATAATAATATACACATTTTCGTCTGAGTTTTTCGTGAAGAAACTATTTTATTTCTGTTCTAGAAATTTTAAGGGGAAAATCCACTCTAGGATTTTAGAAAACGCATTTTTTTGCTCGTGGGTACCCTAGAAATGATATATAATTGGTTATAAAGTGCAAAAAATATTTCATATAGATGAACTTTTTATTTTGCTGCATCCTCCCTCAAATCACATTTCTCAAGCTGGGAGGACAGATTATTCGGACCTCATTGTATTGATTTATCTGAAATTTTGATGGTAGCTTCACAAATACATTTATTTTGGAAGTAAACAGCCGATTTTTTTCATATAATTAAATTCCTATTTTTTAGTCAAAAATCAATCTTAAAAAAAAATGCTCCGCTTTCACAAAAATTACTTAAAAAATAAATTCGTACGTACTTCCAAAGAATATGGTTTGTGAATCATAAAACTTTTTGCTCTTCTGTTTTAGGTCTTCAGAAGAGATCTGCCCTCCCGTGTACGTCTTTAAAAAAAAAAAAAACATGGATTAAATAATAGACTTTATAATCGCCATTTTGTAACAAATAATGATTAAAGAATATTTTTTATACTTCAGTATATGTTCAATGAAATGGGTCTTTTCTCATATTCCTGCAGGAAATTTTTAAAAATCTATTAGATTAAAATTTTGGCCAAAGGAATTATTTTCCATTAATTTTTTACGAAATTTGAAACAGAAATTTAAATTTTTTAAAAATATTAATTTCATTTCTTTTTATAAATATTAATTCATATTATTATTAATAAATTGTATTAGATTAAATTTTTAGCAAAAGAAAATATTTATATAACTTTTTCAAAATTTAGTTTTATAATTTATGCAAATATTCACTTCACGAGGCATTATTTTTACGAAATTTCTGTGATTTCAGCAATCAAATGGTTGATACACCTAAACATTCTTTTGCTTTCTATGAATATTTATTAATATTATTTTTTTTAAGAAATATTTATAAAAAAAAATCATTCATGCGATTCGGTCTAGAAATTTTCGATATGGAAATAATAGATTAAAATTAGAGAAACAATTTTTTTACGACTTGTTTTAGGAAATAAAAGCTGCAATTATTATTTTTTAATTTTAAATTTCATTTATTTAATTTTTTAGTTTTATAAATATTTTATTTATTTTTTTGTTTTACAAAGTTCAGAGAATTTTCAGTAATTATAAGTTTTTACAAAGTTTGAACGAAATTACTGTCGTTTTTAGAATTTATTTTATATGAAAAAAAACATTTCTTTTCAATTAATACTTTCAGTGAAAATCAGAAGCAAATTTTTATATTAGTGAAACGTAGAATATGGAATATTATATTTATATAATATTTATTTTCATATATATATGGGCGTGGATATTTACATAATATAGTATATTTATATAATCCAATAATCCAAATAAAGTTGCATTTTAAACTCTGTTCGTGCCTTTAAAATTCTGAAACAAAAGTTGCAAAAAAATTTTCTAGAAATCAAATTTTTTTTTCCTAATTGTAAATAAATATTTATTTCGTCGAACATTTTTTTCTATAATTTCTCTAATAAAATTTTTTTTTTTGCAATTAAAAATATTTGTATATATTTTTTAGAATAATTAATAGAAACTCGTTTCAGTAATTAAATAAATAAAAAAAAATTATCTTGAAGAAATTGAACTCTTACGTGATATAAATTATTATAATTTATTTTCCAAAAATAGTAGAAAAAAAGATTACGTTTATTCACAGAATAAATATTTATATAAACATATTTTTCAGTTTTTTCAAATATGTAATGTGAAAATAAAGATCTAACACAAAAATCTAGAAATATATATATATTTTGATTTAATTCCAAAAAGGTTTTAATTCATAAATATTTAAGAAGAAATTATTTATTGCGAGGAAACTGATTTAAGATGTACAATGTAAATTATTATCAAAACAATAAAAAACATTACTTCATAAAAAATTATATTAATGATATTTTCCAATTAATTAATAAAAATTATACTAATAAGATTTTTCTAATTTTTTTTAATAATTTCATTGGCATTAAAAAATATGTAGATACTAAAATTTTTCCTAGTATTTTTGTGAAATATGAATTTCCTAATTTTTTCAAAATAAAAAAAAATTTTCACATACATGTATGCATAACGAAACAACAGGAAAAATACATTAATCAATTGTTTATTTAAAGATATTATATTAAGAGTTTATGTACATATGTACATATGCACATATTTTTCAAATATTAAATGCATACGCATTCAAATACACACTTTCTTTGAGATTTTATTCCAAAATATATTTTTTTAAAGTCTTTCATTTAAAGTATAATTAAATAAAAATTTATTAACAATATTTTTTCTTCTTAATTCTTCAATAAAAAAAGCATAAGTGTTTCTCGCAAATTTTTGATGAATTCAATAATTTTATGATATGAAAATAAGCAGTTTATATTTACTTAAAAAAAAGCGAATAAAAGATTCGGTTTGAAAATGGAAACAGGTATACGAGTATACATACATATATGTATTTAGAACATGAATATGCATTTGAATAAAAAATTCTGAGGATGACATTCCTTAAATAAAATAAACTATTTTTAGGGAATTTTTTTTTAATTTTGTTTGAATAATTCGAAAGGCTCGAACACCATCGAGCTCATTAAAATTGAGCGCTATGAGAGCGACATGCAAATATGAACTCTTGCTTCTTCTTCTTCCATATTCATGAGCGCTATCTGTGCAGTTGCACTTTTATTACTTTTGTTTACTTTTATATTCAATCGCCGTCGCTTAATTGCTAAATACGGCGAAATTTTTGTTTATGATCTTTTTATTAGCACTCATTTTTTTTGCTTGCTCTTTTTGCGTTTTGTTTTCTAGCTTGTATGTATGTAGAAGTAGTAGCCGCACTGCATTTATTCGACTTTTCACTTACAACGAACATCATATTACACATACTGTTATACATACACATGCAACTTATCACACGAATACTTTACAGCAGCTCGTACTTTTTGCCGGCAATTAGTTTTCAGTAAAAATTAACAAAATAAATGCAATTCTCACTTCTAGATTTTGTTCGAATAACACGTGCGATTAAAAATTCTACTTCATGAAACCAACAGCATTCCCACTCAGCTGCTACGACCTACCTAATGAGAGCGTACGATTAACAAACTCACAGAAAGTCAAAAACCACGTGTGCTTTGTTTTTGTTAACAGGCAGAATAAAAGTGTCAAAAACGATATTCGACCAATAAGCACACTTTATGTGTTTTGTTTGTGTAATCGTGTGTTGGAGGTGTCAAAATTTCGCAATGTTTCTGTTGTTGGAGCAAAATTGGTTTGAGTAATTTAAATGGGAGAACCTTTTCGCTGATGAATTCGCCTTGCGCAAAACTGACACAGCTGATTGCTTGGCATTGTACAAGGTTGCCACTGTATTTCTTTATAAACAAATTTTAACTAAACTTGGCATATGGAATATATTTTTAAAAATGAAAGCTAAACAAAGTGGTCCATTACTCATTTAAATAAATGTACATAAAAAAAAACATTATCACCGCAATTATAAATTTCTTTAAAAGTATACGGACACGCTGATAACTGCAATAATAGCTACTGATTTCAATTGCGAAATATATGAATAAAACCATTCCAAAAAAAGCTATTTCCACATATTATTTGAAAATATATAAATAACTTACACAGAGTAAATTAAAATTATTTAAATAATATCTTTTACTTAAATTGTTGGTTTCATTTGCTCAAAAATATTCAATGAAACAAGACTTGTTTTTTTAAATAATTTTTTTTTTCTTTTAGAATTATCTGAATCACAATGGTGCACATGCATATATACACATTTAAAGAAAAAGAGAAAACCTTCTCAAAAAATCCGTCTCTTTTTCTCTTCAGCGATTTTTATTTTTTCAAGCAAAATTTTAACAATAAGCATTTTTTCCCAAAAAAAAAATCTTATCATTATTGTAAACATTCCTTTTTGCCCTTTTCGCCTCTTTATAATTGCGGTGGCAGCTCTCTTGTGCAGAATATAGATCAGCTGATATTTTCGCCGCAATAAATACCTATTTTCTAGTTGGCATACATATGTACGTATACAAGGGTTGTTTTGCTAAGCAATTGATGGCATATTTATTTTTAACGAACGTGCATACATACATATGGTATGAATATGAATATAATTGAGCTTATAATATGAAAGAGGGAAATATTAATGTTGAGAATGATTTTATAAAAATATTTTATTAAATTTGTTTAGAAATTGTAGTGGATAGTCCACGGATTTATTTTAAAGCTGTCTCTCTTCAGCCGTATTGAAATCCAAACGAAACTCGGGGCTCTCCAAGCAAATGTCGAAGAGGGTGGGTGGGTCTGGTTTAAGCACGAGTGGAAGCTTGACCCGAGGATGGAGCGATAATGATTATATTCTTTTAAGAAATATTTTTCATTATTTTTTTTTTATTTTATGTTATATATTAATATTTTGTATATTAAGTTTTTTATAAATTTATTTTTCGGCCCTTTTTATCATATACCGTTTGATAAAAGCACGTTAAAACTTTTTAACCGTTTCTCCGTTTAAAACATGCAGTTATCTTCTAAATATGTAAGAAAATTAAAACTTAATGAAGCGGATCTCGGCAGTTTTTAGTCTCTTATTTCGGAGTTTTGTTCCCATGAGCTCTCAAACTGTCCTAAGAATGGATTTTTAGTTACTTGAAAGTTTTTCCATAATCTTCTTCTTTCCTTAACTCTATTTTTATAACCTCTTTTACTAATTTATTTACTTAATTTTTTATTACTAAAAGCTTTGCTGATTCTGATTACACTGAATCACAGACAAGTTTTTTGCCAGTAAAATTAAAATTATTATTATTTATTATTTTGAATCACTTTTATTCCATTTAATTTCTTTTCCACCTTATTAAATTTAATTAATCATTTTTAATGAGCATTATATCCGTTTTTTATTATAAAACTATTTATTGTTATATGTATTAAAACTTTGTTATGTTAATTGCCGGAGGGAGAATAAAAACTATGAGGTAATACCAAGAAATGCTTGAATTAATTATGGCATTCCAACTGTTCGCCTTCGATCATTTATCACACGCTTTATTCATTGTGTTATACTCTAGGTAAATGAGAATGCAGAAGGGGAAAGGGAGAATAGGTAATGGGGTATAAAAAGTATTGAGCAGGTGTAATAAAAAATTTCAATAGAATAATGGAAGATTGAGATAATATGACACAGAAAAGTTAACAAGAGAGATGAAAAAAAATTTTGCAAATAAATGTGGAAATTATTATTTTTTTACTAACTCATGAATGGAATGCGGATCAAGTGTGAGAGTGATAAATTTAATAGACGAATAAATTTTTTTGAAAAGAAAGGAAAAAATAAGAATATTGGAAATGATCATGAAAGAAATCATGCTCGGGTACAGTGTCTCGATAAATTGAAATATTGCTGAACATAAAAAGTGGCGAAACTGAAAATTTCGCAGGGCTCTAAATGTTGCTGGGCAGACAATTTCATGAAACATAAAAAATTTCTCTATTAAACATTAATTATGGTTAAACAAGACATTTTGCAGGACATAAAATATTGCTTAACATAACATTTTGCAAGGGCACAAAACATTGTCAAGTCAATATCCATGCTAAATACAAAATAATTTTTAATATAAAATTGGGTTTAACATAAAATATTGCTTAACATAAAATATGGCTTAACATAAAATGTGGCTAAGCATAAAAAAATTTTAAATATAAAATAATATATTCTTTAAAATAAAATATTGTAAAACATAAAATGTTGGTAAACAAAAAATTTTGTTAAACAAAACAAAAAAATAAATAATAATAACTGTAAAACATAAAATGCTGTGAAAGAAAACAAGTGTTAAATAAAAACAATTTTTAAGCATTAACTTTGCAAAGCCAAATGCTTAGAATAAAACTTTTTTAACCAAAAAAAAAAGGTTAAAGTAAAATATAGTTGTGCTAAGCTAATGGCTAAACATAAAGCATCGCAAAACACAAAATATTTTTAAACATAAAATTTTTGATTAGTTTTTAATTGTTGATAAACTTTATCGTACAGATGGTCGGCAAAAATTTTTGGTCAAAGCAAAATTCGTTGTAACAAAAATTATGTTTAAAATATTAAAATACAAATATACATACATGCATTTTAAATTTAAATTTATTTTGCCATTATTATTATTACTTTTTTTGAGTTTTCTCATTTATTAACTTTTTAATTTAATGTTTATTATTTAATTATTACTCATTTATTTATGCTGAAGGACATGCGCGAAATAATTAAGATTTTAAATAAAAATCTGCAAAGAACAAAAAAATAACGATTTTAATTTGGTTTGCAAAAGATTTGTTTAAAAAATCTTTTTTTTTTGATTTTGCTATAATTATTGTCATTAATTCCCACCAAAAAATTGAATAAATTTTATTAGCGCTCAATTTTCATGCCGGATGTCTTAAAATTGTACCTCACCAAACAAATTTCATGCATGTTTGCCGCTAAATAATTAAGCGGAAGCAACACCCGCGACAAAAGTAAATTTAGAAAGAAAAAAAATGCTACACAAATATTGTTCATACATGCATATTTCTGTTTGTAAATCGCCATTCAAAACTAGTTATTGAAATTGAAAGTTAAAATACTTTTTTTTAGCAATTTAATTTTATTTTCATTTAAAATAATTTTGAAAAAAAAGTTATTTCCTCAAAAAATTGTAAGTGCAAAAAAAATATTTTTATTAAAATGAATCAACGTAATTTATCATTTTGCAGAAAAATTCAAATTTCCTTTCACCACCAACAGCAAATGTTGCGCATGGCCGCTGCTGTTTGTCGGAGAGAGAGTGGGGTGGCGAGCGAGAGAAAACTTGACAAAAATGACAGCTGTAGTGGCTTTGTGGCGTTGGTGATGTTTGATAGATGGGCTCGTGGGTGCCGCTGGCTAAATTGCAATTTCTTTGCGTTTGTTGTTGTGGTTTCGGAATTTTTTTTTTTTTAATTTTCAACGTAGTGTGTGTACGAGTAATTAATAATTAGAAATTTTTTGCTCCTTTTTGCTTTTGATGAGATTTTGTGGTGTTGTTTGGCAAAATTTTAGGTAGTTTTTTGTAGTCTCAAGATAAACAAGTGCGATTAATATCATTTCAGTGTGAGGTGATGTCAGTAGAGAAAGTAATATTGCTCCCAAATGCCCCTCTGTTAGTCATACTTTTCAGGCTTCTCTAATATAGAAGAAATAGATGTGTATTTCCGCTACTACTATTTCTACTTGCAACAGTTTCCCTTAACAAACCTTCCTCTTGGAAAAGAGGAAAACTAAGAATTATAAAGATCATGAACACTTGAAAGGACAGTTACTTTGGTTGCTGATGGAAGGCAGTTCAACAATTAATTTGCCAACCAAGAAAGCTTAGCCTGAGTTTGCTCGCATTGGAAAGAAGAAATTGAAAGTTAGATGTTCCGGTCCAAAACGTGCACATACAGTACTCATGTTGATGTCGGATATGTTTTATTGTTGGTTTCACCGGCATGAGCTTCAGATATCGAAAACAGAGAGCGGTTAACTAGTAGTGGGTCCAAGAAAACGGGATCGAACCTACTAACTTTTGCTGGATGATATGCTTCTTTAGCACAAGGATTGCTGTGAGTTTTTCTCTTCTTTATCTCACACTTTATAGCCTCTGAGGCGCTTTTGGCAGAGCTTTTCCTTCATCAACTAGATGAACCCTTCGTTGAGATTCTCTCCTGGGACTCTCAGACTCCTTAGCTGCATCTGGATTATTTCCAAGCTTCTATCACTAGAGCTGGTTAATAAATCTCCCAAGCTTTCCTGCCTTTGCACTGATTAATACCCACACAAACTCTATTGTGCCGCTAATGGCGTAAAGAATTTCACCAGGAAATGCTACATAGCCGCATTGCTTAACAATAAAACCGACAAATTGCTAACTTTCCGCATCATAAAGTGAAAATAAATAATAATTAACCTGCTGCCGGTAGTGTTGTTATTGAATACCTGCGGCTACGGCTCCAACTGCGACAGTAAAGCTTAGCTTGTCAGTTTGGTCAGGATTAGAACTGTTAAATTTACGCAACCGCCAATTAAGATTAAGGCAACAAATTCATTGGCTTTAAAGAAGCAGCAGAAGTCAACGGTGTCGGGCGGCAACTAAAGAAGCTTTTAAATTCTAAGTAACTGTGCTTGTGGTAAAGACGCCCCTTTCCGTTGACTTGCGTACGAGCACATGTGGCAAGTGAGTATGAGGAACACAGCACTTGACCAAGTACTTTT